GGACTGCCACGCAGAGGTCCCAGGTTCGATTAAGGGCCGGGAGAAATAGTTGTATGGCCTACAATTATTTCTCTCGTGAGTTTGGGTGTAAGTTGTGGTTGTCTATGTGTGTGTCCATGGCATCCGCGACACAGGGTTTCTCTAGTTCGGGGCTATGTTAAGTGTGTACGTTATTTATTATTATTATTTATATTTATTTAGATCCCCAGATCCGAGGAAAAAAAATTAAAAAACCCACCTTAAATGTTTGCTCATCCTCTGTCGCTGTATTCGTAACCGCGGTTTCCTCAACGATAAGCGCATATGGAGGTCCTCGTCAAAATAAATCATATGAGCCAAGTTTTATTGAAATAGGTTAAATGAAAGTGGATGAAATTAGAGGTGGAATAATATATTCTTCAAATTTAAATGGGATCAGTACTGAGGTACCTCCTCTCTAACAAAAAGAATCATCGAAATCGTTCACAAATGTCCAAGTAACCGCGAAACATTCATAAAAAAATACAATCTAATTGAGAACAACATCTTTTTTAAAGTCGGTTAAAATGGTTTCATTTCGAACACTAATTTTACTTTGTTTCCGTTTTTGTTGTCAGAAAAATATTAAATTCCCTACATTGTTCTACAATGCGGTATCAATTGTTTTATTATATTAATTCCATGACATCACCATTTGCACTTTCAAGAAACAAGTGCGTGTTATTGAATTACACACTTTCATAAACACAATATTCCATTTAAAATGGTGAGTAAACAAAACTAGATACTAATAGGTAGTTATCATTGAACGGTGCAGGTAGCGCTGTTTTTACTACTTGTGACATGTGGTCATAATATGGACATACCCTTTTTTAACAAACTATCATTCAACGATCCCGGGAATATCGGAATTAAAAAAAGAATAATAATAAAAACATTTATTTTTCACTCACTGGAGCAATTGGATGATTAACTGTTGTATATGACAGAACATTCCCTCGGGATGAAATAATTTTTAACTTATTTTATTTCATAGTTTTAGATTTTTTTCTGAAAGTCCTCTATAGAATGAACTATAATATTGAACTATCTTATCAAACAATGATGTGAATAATTTTCGGAAAAAATAGGGATGACAAATGTACGCGGGTGAAATGCTAGAATATGTATTGTTCTATGGAAAAAGTGGGACCTACCAAGCAGCTTAATAGCTAATCAAAATGAGTATGTGGAATATCAACACATACTAGGGATGCGCGATTTGTTGGGTTGAGAAAACACGTTCAGATCGAGTAAATATCGTACTTATTGTACTTAGATGTTGCAAACTACTTTTCTTGCAGACCAATATAAAATGGTATTAGCCTTACGATTCAGTAAGAGTTCAGAAAGAGACATTTTATTTAAATTATGAATTCGAAATAGACGATTCCATTCGCCTTAATGTTGAATCGAAATAAATCGGTACAAAAAATCGTTAGATCATTTACACTTGAATTGATCTTTATAAAAATCGTATCTCAATGTGTATAAAAATCGTACATCAGTAGTCCGAAATGACATTTTCCAGAAATAATGTTTGTTCGAAATTTCATAACCTCGAAAGTAATTTTGAGAGGAAAATGTGTTTTCTTTTAAACCTAAATTAACCTAACCTAACTGAACCTAATCGTGTCTTTGCGATAAACATCCAACATATCCTAAAAGAACAACGGTTTCGTTATAATCCGGTTTTCGGTGTAATGCAAATTCGAACAAACGTTATTACGAAAAAAAAAATTCGAGTTTGTGATATGTTACCCTTCCATACACATTATTTGGTACGTAGTGAATTGTATACGCGAGTCAAATACAGGTATTTATCATTTTCTATCATTGTGTCCTTACAACAACACTCTTCACTTGCAATATTCTGACAACATAGCGAATCGTACTAAAATCCCGGGATCCCGGAGTCATATCCATGTTATACATTCCATGTTTTTAATTCTAATTAGACCTACTTAGACAGTCTAGTTGGTCAAACGCACTTGTTAGATGTGAAACCTTACAAAAACTTATATATCGCCTCTTGAATATTATCTTCTAACAATCATGCAGGATAAAATATAAAATTATTATTGTACTAAGCGAAAACATCTTTAATAAACATCGTATCAAACATATTTGTTGCAAAATGATTTGTGAGAGCTAATACAAGATATTGTAATACTGTGCTATTACTACACTTTAGCGATGGAAACAACTGCTTATAAATTTTAAACGTCGAAACGTTATAATATAATATATTCGTTGTTTTAAAATACACATCTGGGTATTTACAATTATTTATTGACAATGAAAAGTCAGGTTAAGGCGGTGACATGGACATAGAAGAATGTGCCTCTTCCAGACTTCTCCGGTGTCGGTTTGGAGCTCCTAGTGTAGTTGGCCCAACTTTCTTGTTACTGTTCCCAACACCTATTTACGATCACACGTAAGTTGGTTCTAACTGGTCTTTCAGTACTTTTTGACTAAGCTAAAAAGTACAGATGGCATATTTGCACACTTGTACATGTTAAGAAAGAAGAAGTCTTCTTGTAGTATCGATGGCATACACTACATTATCGCGGCCTGGAACGTGCACACCACAAGTATCCGTCGTCCAGAACTGTGTATGGGATATGTTTGCCATTGTGGAGAAAAGATTTGTCAATCGGCGTAAAGTATTCATCAATTGTTGCCCAGGATGCGCTAGACGTACTAAGATAACGAATCGTACGTCATTGGGGGGACGATTACATCCTTTCGTGTTCCCAAGAAAGAAGAAGCAAAGCGTGTTATGAGTTTAAGCTGCAAATCAATGACATAAGGATGTTGTGTTCCGGATTTTCTTGTCGACGGAAGAAGGAACTAAATTGAAAAATTCTTCATCTATCTCTGATTTCGACACTCGACAGCTATACCTTACAACGAGCTCTTTAGCGATCGTGACAATGAACACATTAACAAAAATGTATAAATAAGTAGTTAATCAATATAATCTTATAAATTTAATTAATATAATCTTATAAAGCCCAAGTTTTTTTATTATTATCAACACGAATAGTAGTTATTCTTAGAATGAACTCGATTTCAAATTCATAGATACTTCAATTTCTCATTATGTCATTTTCCCACGTTTCAATTATTAATAGACAACTTCACATTATCCTTCATTCTTTAGAATTGTGGTCGGATAATTATACGGATGAATCTCGTCAGTTATTTTTAAAAACGCATTTGGTTTATTAACAATGCGATTTGATAATTTGTCACGATTTTTCGGAATAGAGAAGTATAAAAAATATGGGATTCTCCTTTTCAATCACAATTGGCACGTCTACGGAAACAAGACATTAAATTTAACAGAAGTTTTATATATCTTTGGATAGGATTATAAATCCACTATCCATTACAGCTCGTGTGTCATTAAAGTTCAATAACGCCTTTATGACTCTCTGTTCTGTTTCACGTGCCAACTCGATGGTGTACACTATAATGCTTGCCATTGTGGTGAAAGAATTTTCTCATCGACGTAAGGTACTCTTTACTGCCCAAGGTGCACCAGACGTACAGGAAAGGAGTGGAATGTCAGCAGCGAGACTCCTTTCGTGCACTCCGATAATTTTTATGTTATTAACCCAGCTTTCGGGTGGGCGGCCCCTTTCTCGTGTTGTATCCTTCTTCTCAGCTCCTGCATTCTCCTAGACCCCCACATTCAAGCAAACTATCATGCCATCTACTATTTCATAGCTCGTTAGGTTTCGTTGTTGTAAGTCTATGCTGGTTTCATCATTATCAGGATGTTTTATGGACACTTTAAAAAGTAAAACGATATTGTAATAATTTTACGTGTATTATTACTTCATCTTTTTTTAAATTTCAATAAGTTGCGAAAACAAAAAGTACATGAAAAAAATAACAAAACCACAGAACACGTACCCTGACCACGTCGACGTCATTTGAACCCTGTCATGTCATTATTCTGTCTCATCGATGCCACTATGCTACGCGTCGACAGTTGCCAGGCGCGCACGCATTCAGCCTCTCAATTGAACGAAAACGAGGGTAGCGTGTTCTATGACACATAACTGATTTGCTTACTTTCGCGATTTCTTACAAATTTTAATAATGCAAACTTGATGGCTACAGATATTAGTTTTAGGTGCATCGAAATCAAAATTCTTTTGATATTTTCTACGTCTATTCTTGTTATGTACTAAGCACGATAAGATGCACAAGATCCGTCTTCCAATCCCAGTGGATGACCTGCACTACTAAGACTTTTGAATCATAATATGCAGTACAGTGTACTAATAAGAAAATATGAAACCTGCACAGCGGAGAGATTATAAAAATTCTTCGAAGTGTGAGACCCTCCAACCTGCCTAAAACCTAAACCTTCTCCTTAAACAAAGACCCATGCCCAGCACTAGATTGATCGAAACGTGATAGTGGTACACTTTAGGTCTAAGGCCATCAACTACCGGTTTGTAGTGCAATTTAATATAACAGACGAAGATCTTGGCAAGTGGATTAAAATGTTTTGCAATTAAAAACATTTAGGTTCAAAATATAGGAATGTTTGGAATGTGTGATGTAATGTAAATATGGGCTTTATTTAGTATTTCACATTCCGTTAAAATTAATTTAACGTTTTCTTTTCCTCGGAACAGCCTTAACTTGCAGTGAGTTTTCATCTAATTCCAAGATGAATTCACAAATCTTCTAAACAGCAAATGCCAGTGTCTCGTATGCGCCTGTTGTTTTTCCTTGTCTCCCTCTTTATTGTCACAAAAACACTGTAAAAGCAAATTTATTAACACCAAGGAAAGCAAAAAGTCTTTATTAGCATGAAAAAAAAAAAACGATATTACAAAGTAGGTGCTCGTTATTCATTGCATCGCTTGCAATGTTCAGTAGCAGTTTACCTGTACTTTGATGCGCGGTCAGAGACGCACGCGCATGTCATATCACTCCTGTCAACCAGTATCACTGTGACCGCCGTCGCGAGCGTACGTTCGGCCTGCCCGCGTCAACACGCCACGTGTGTTTGTGAGTAAATAGTGCCAGTGAAGTTGAAATTGGATTGCTAGTACTCTTGACGATTCACCACGGGTAATTCGTAACGGAGTTTTGCTATTGTTTACTTTACCATTATTGTAGCTGCCTTTTGTACTGATTGAGCCTTGAAAAGCTTTATGACAGTTTTTTTAATTTTTAATGGGACATTTATGGCTAAATTTTCATATGCGTCACATGTGCTGGAGACAATCAGTTCGAGAACGCTTCAATATCATCAATAAGTGTACATGACACGTTTGTTATATTTATTGAACGCCATATACAAACGGTACTTATGGTTTATAGTACTACAGTTGACGCTCTGTGTTTCGTTTAGAGTCTTAATGCGAAGAGTTTGTTATTACATTTGTTTGATACAGTGGTAGTATCATTCATCGAGAGAGAATTCTCTATTTCAGCCGACGCTATGTGGCTAACAGACTAAACAAGCTAAATTAGAATTATTATAACTTCGCTCAATGTTATGGTTGGCTTTATTCAAATTTGTATCACTGAATGTTTTCAGTAAATACAGCATTTAGTCAGCAAAATCTGATGACCAGTTTGTAAAGTCTGTCAAGGTTTTCTTACCGGTTTTCAGAGTTGTAACTCTTAACAATTGCTCTTTAGAACTTACATTGGTTTTTTTACGTCATAATTACTCTGATCTTGCCATTTTAAATCTTATTTCGTCGGTGCTTCGATCATGTTTTATATTCCGTGCATCTTTCTATTGTTTGAAAAGTTTATATGTAAAAAAAATAGTTTGTGACTAGCCAACTAGATTTGGCCCTTTATCTATTGTCCTCAATTTCACTACAACAATAATTTACTGACCGTGACCTACATCTATTGTACAATAAGATATTTCTCTCCTACGATTTATAAATAAAGATATTTTCATCATCTTTGGGTTCGTATTAAAAGGTAAATAGATTATTTACATAGTTTTTTTTACATCCGCAAATCTCTGCATTTGGGAATCCCAGAATAAATAATCTTTAAAATCATGTTCTTTAACAGTTTATGCATCTTCACATTGTTTCTTTTTACTTTGAGAACATTAATTATTATAAAGCCAACATAGTTGTTTTTGCAAATTTCAGTTTGGTTTTATTCCATTCAACTGTGTTTTTCGTGCGTGTTCATTCATTAATGGACATTTGAGTCACCACCATACAATTGCATTTATAAATTCAATTCAACTTATGGTTATACCGAAGCATGGAAAAGCTACAAATCAAAACCACCTCATAACTTCAAGATGGTAGAAATTGACTAGGACACAAACAAAGCGGAATATTTACAAGAATAGAGTTTTACTGCGGAAATGAAGCCTTAAGCGAATATTTTAGTCTAGAGCTTCAGCACTCTGCGTCAACGGGTTGCTCAGTCTTAAATTTAGTTCTCCTACCTGACCAATGATCTCCATGTCCATTATGATCTGATCAATGTGGAACTAAAATCTCCAAAAATAAAATTTGTCAATGACCCTAAAAATATGACGTTCTTTATTGCACTTTTTTAAAGAACAATTCCAAAATGACAAGAAGTTAGAAGAGCTACTGTTTTTTACCGCTCAAATTAATGTACTGTAATGACAGCGCCCGAGTCACGTCCACGCCTCATATCTCTTTAAGTTATAGTAGTCAGACAAGCGTTATCTAAAGCAAAAAAGAAATGTCTATGTAACGGTTGATTACCATAATATGACATATGACTTGCTTATAAAACCTTGACCTGGACGTGATTAGAATCAGATCTGTACCTGTTCTAAATCTTAGTTGGGCGTATGCAATGTTTTTCATATGGAGTGCTGCAAGGTTTGCACTTGTGTTTACTGTTATTTAGTGTTTCTTCTTTTAATCGTTTATTTAAATCTTTTATTTTATCGAATATGGTAAAAGGCATTTGAAAATTAGATTTTATTAGCTTTGACATAGTATAGAGTACAGCAAGGTTCGTTTATAAAACCATAGTTGTTTTTTTTTCTTTACAAGTGTTATTTCATTGTTCGATAATTTTAAGTCTAAATATAATTACGAATACTTTTGAAATTACTTAGTATTGGAAGGCTAGCGTTTTAAACTCAAGTTGCTTAAAGTTTTTTCGGCGTTACAGCTTTAAAAAACGGTTATTCTTAATTAACAGTTTTTAATGTAGAGTCGCACAAGGTTCGCATCTTGGCTCATTTTAATTAATTTTTCGCACATTGACGTGGCATGTCTTACACACACAGGTTTTCCTTACTGATCACAAAGTAAATAGCAATTCACTTCAGACGTCTTTGTAGCGAAAACCGCAGCATATTATCCATGCAACTTTTGCAATTTTTTTTATAGTTTTTTGTGACTATGAGTATATAAGATTATCTTTAACATGTCTATGTTTATAGAAGGGACGAGTGGAGACTCGTCCCTTTTATAACATAGGAGTATTATATGCATTACTGTGTATAAAAAGACAGACTCCTGTCTACTATTGTAAAGCTAAAATTTTGATAGAATTTATTTATTTAAAAAGGTAAAACCGAACAACAATACGTCCTTTTCTCGTAGCAACAAAGGGTACTTGTAACTTTCTCTATAGTTTTGTTATTGGTAGTGATAGCCGAAAATTGTATTTTTCATGATTTTTCTATATATTGTAATAACTAATAATATTTTTAAACTTTTGAAACTTACGATTTACTTTTTATGCGGCTTATGTGCCAAGCAGGGGTAGCTCAGCTCAGAAAGTTTGCTTCTCATTTGACAGATCGACATTACGAATCCCTGTGAAGGCTTGAACGTCTTTAATTTATAAGTTATGTGCATTTGTCAATGTTTATTAACTACACTTTTCGCTAATGTTCAAGGAAAATGTGATAATTCTTGCATGTCGAAAAAGGTTCCAAAACCCCTGACAAACCCGCACAGTATCGATTAATCATTCGATTAGAGTTGCAGACTATGTATTGTTTTAATGGTTTGCACTTTTTTGAAACATTTTGTTATTACTGCGGGGCTAACACGACTTGCGCGAGAGCGACATAACGACTAATCCGAAGAACAAAGTCCGATGTGATTATACAGCGAAAAGAGGATAAATACATAATTTCATTATTCAAACTAAGGCCTGTAAACAACGGTGGATATGACATCCACAGCGAAGAAGAACGAACGAAATGTACTATGTCCTAAGAAGTAGTCGCTCACATAGATCTTTGTTCTACGGATAAGTCGATAAAATCGTCAAGTGTCGTGCTAGTTCTTCTATACTTTTTCTGTGTTCGGGATTTGACGGTAAATATAGCCAGTGCTGTCATAGTCTAAGTAGACAAACATCAAAAGAGATCGTAAAGGCCCAAAACAGGGGACTTGTTGATTTTACTCAGGGTGACGGGCACAGTGGCAGTGCCCATCAGGTCTTTTCATGATTGAAAACTTTGACCGGCACTGGAGCTGTTATGGGCTTGTATATCTGTAAATTTGTACTCTATGCCAATAACGTAAACTGCAACACAGATTAAACCTGTTTTTAACAGTTTGTGTATCTCCGTCTCCGAACGAGTTAAACGCTGGAATTCAAGGAGCAGATAACGAAACTGGTTTAAAAATGCTGCTGGTCATGGGTCTCCTCTCGGGCGAGGGTAACAATAACAAAAACAATTTGACCGAAATTCCCCATATAGGCAGGAAATTTGCGATAAACCCAGTGAATAATTAAATATGAATGTACACATAGTTATTAACCTTTTTTAACAGGAAGACAAACAAAGTAGATTCCCCTCCCCGTCTTTCTCTTAGTCATAGTATTATTACTCATAATGGTTATTCGAATAATAAAAAATACACTTCGCATAATCCATAGACTATTAATATTATAAATGCGAAAGTAACTCTGTCGGTTATGTATTTAGGCCTAAATAGCTGAACCAATTTTGATGAAAACTACGGGAGACCTATACCCAGCAGTGGGTGAAGTCAGGCTGTTAGAAAGAGGGTTGAAAGTTTGTGCAGAGAACCAATAAAAGTATGAAAATTAGTATAATACTTGGGCTACACGAAGTATTTATTCCTAAATGAATCTATAGAATACCTATCCTTTAGTAGCAGTAGAGCTCCTTGTGAAAGAGTTCGTCCAGGGAAGTACTGCCATCTTACCTATTTTTACCGCCAAGCAGTTACGTGAGCATTAACGCGTTCCGGTTTTGAAGGGCAAGGGTGCTGGTGAAATAACAGGCACATGGGCCTTGTCGACTTATGTCTCAAGGCGACGGGCGCAGTGGCAGTGCCTCAGTGATCCATGCGATTTAAAGCTCTGAGTGGCACTGCAACTGTTATGGACAGGCGTGTAGCTGACCATCAGGCGCAGAACTTGTTCGTCTCGTCACTTGATATTATAAAAAAAAGTCCTTCATCATGATCAACTCGTTATACGTACACGGTTCTCCTTCTAAGAGGGAGATTAGACCAGATCTCGCAATCCTGGCCCAATGCGATCCAGGGTTCTCCTTTAATCTGGTTGAGGCTGAAGTCGGTATATCTGTACCTATAATGAACTCTACGCCTTCTTATTAAACTGCCATATTTATTTGCTAATATTATTCGTTTAAATTACGTGAAAAACAAAAAAAAAACAAAATACGAAATTCTAAAAAACAAAAACAAAAAACGAATTTTGTGAAATAAAAAAGAAAAAAAAACCAAAATAAATAAAGAACAAATTCAAAAATTACTGGTGTTCAGCGGAGGTATCGATATTATTATATTATTCATCAATAAACGTTATCGTTAACGCCTACCAGCACCGACTGCGTCGGTTCTCGTTAATGGCCCGCAGATACGAGACTCGCATTGATATAAAAAAAAAATTCCTTTTATCAATGACAGTATAGCAATATAGCATTATTGAATACATTATTTTTGCTATAAGAACTCGATAAGTCCCATTACTATAATTATGATTTGTCCCCTCCTGTAGCGGACTATATGAATGGGTTGGGGTGGGTGCTATCAACGAGTGAGCAAGACCAAAGTAAATGTTTAAAAAAAATATTTTATGGCACCCTG